TTTTTCTTTTTGCTTATGTGGTGCTGAGGAATCGAACCCAGGGTCTCATGCATGCAAGGCAAGCGCTCTACCACTGAGCCACCTTCCCAGCCCAGCTCTTGGTTTTTGTGCTGCAGGACAGACAGGACAGTCCACAGGAGGGCACGCGAAATGCGGAGCTCAGTCTCCCTGTAAGCATTTGCTGAGTGTCTGCTGCATGCCGGGACTCACCTGTCAACCAAATGACGAGCAGATCCCTGCCATCCAGGGGTTCGGGCTCTCACTGAGACTGTATTGGCCCCGTGGGTGCTCAGCACCAGTGCGCGCAGACTCACTCATCTACCATAGATTTGCCATTTTTCCCTGAGCACGCCAGCAAGAAGAGTTGCTAAAAACCAAGAAGAAAATTATGCAGCTAGTGTCGGAGGTACCTAAGTTAACAGCAGCCTCGGCAGGGCGTCGGGCGAAGGGACGTCAGGAGGGACGCAGAGCAGCGTCGCATCAGTTCACTCTGGGGTTGGAACCTGGGGCTTTGCACTTACTAGGCAGGTGCTCTACAACTTGAGCTGCTCCTCCAGTCCTTTTTCAGATAGGGCCACATGCTTTGGCCCATGGCTGACCTTGGACAGAGGTCCCCCTACCTTTGCCTCCTACTTAACTTACAGATGGATCCCTCATGCCCTGCTTATTTGTTGAGACGGAGTCTTGCTAGCTTTTTAGTCTCAGAATGGCTTGAAGTGCAATCCTCCCAAGCAGCTGGGATTGTAGGCAGAAGCTGTAGCTGTCAGCTCTACAATACTTTAAATTACACATATAACTTAATTGTGGTCATCTGTGGTAATTGTGGTGCTGATCAGTTACATATGGGTCAAACAGCTCCAGGGGTAGAGAACCATTGACCTCTCAAGACAAAACACTAGATCCTCTAATGGCTTTGAGAACCATTGCTTTTACTTGTTCAGTATCTGTCTCTACACAGTCAGATGCATTAACATCCTCATTATACATCAACCTAGAGACAAGGTCTGATTGTCTTCAGGTGTGTCTGCCTGCAGCCTGGTGAATATCACAGTGCTATTTCAAAAATCTTCCATTAATGACTCAGCCCCACTCTCCCATTGTTCTTTTAGAACTATTGCAAATGAATAGCTATGTCCATCCTGCCTTTAAAGCTCCTGTGGTAGCATGCAGAGAGCATGCAGAACTGGGTCCTCATAGTGTTAAACTGATGAGGGCTGGAAATACAGGAGGGTAGGAACACACAGCTACAGTGCAGTAAGGTAACGAGGTACCATCTTACTAAACACAGCTTCCTGTGTATAAATGATGTCTGTGGCACCAGAGATCAGTGTGTGAACTTGCTTTTCTTGCAGAAAATGAAATTTCAGAACACACCCTAGAAAGTTACAGATCAAGGTCAAATAATGAAGAAACATCTTCTCAAGAAAAAAATGACCAAAGTAAGTCAATCTGCAGACTTGTAGTTTGGGGTATTTTGATTTAATGCGCACAATATTACTTCCAGCAGTGAATAATTTGATTTAGTCTGTATCCTGAGATCCTAAGGTCTTAGCACAAAAAAATTGATACATTTGTATTAAATAAATGAATGTGAAGCTTTCCATTCAAAAAGAAATATTTCAGGTCTTTTGAATGGCTTCATTGTTATTTTTCAAGTGAAATAATAAAGAAAATGAAAAGAAGCTAAATGAGAAAGAGTAGGGAGAGATAGTGTATGTTTATGCCTGAGTGTGTTCACGTATGTGTGTGTGTATATATATATATATGAACATGTGCATGTGTGTATGCCTGAGTATGTTCATGTATGTATATGTGTGTGAACATATACATGTGTGTATGTCTGAGGGTGTTCATGTGTGTGTGAACATGTGCATGTGTATGTGTGTGTCTGAGTGTGTGTTATGAATGTGAGTGTATGCCTAAGTGTGAGTGTGTGTGTGTGTGTGTGCTGGTCCTGGGGCCTGGAAGTTATCCCTGAGATTTTTCACTTAAGGCTGGCACTCTACCACTTGAGCCACAGCTTCACTTCTGCCTTTTTGCTGGATAATTAAAGATAAGAGCCTTACAGTTTTTCCTGCCTAGGCTGGCTTTGAACATCATTCCTCAGATCTCAGCCTCCTGAGTAGTGAGGATTACAGGCGTGAGCCACCAGCACCCAGTGTGTGTGTGTGTGTGTGTGTGTGTGTGTGTGTGTGTGTGTGTGTTCTTGATCATAATTCACTAGGCAGAAACTGAGTCTATAAAAAATAGGAATTGTTTTTCTTTTTAACTGTTTCACATCCACTATGGACATAGATTTCTTCTCACTGCGGGGAGTTGCGCAGAGTGTAATGAACTTTGCTGCTTGATTCTCCTGGTTTGCTGGAAGTAAGAAGCTGATCCTTTGTAGCACCCCTGCATTTTTGTTTTAATCTCCTAGGATGTGCAATGGAAAGAGAGATGCACTGACATATACACACAGACACAGACACACAGAGTGAGCTGGCTATGTGAAAACTGTAAAAAGGGAGAGAGGAAGATAGGGAAGGGGTGACATGGCTCAAAAAGAAATGTACTTGTTACCTGCCACGTAACTGAACCCGTCTGTCCATCACCTCTACAACAACAATCAACGAGGGGGCTGCAGTCTGGCGGGGGACCAGCCAAGGCAATGCTGTCAGCGCTGTGTGCCTTGGGCTGCTCCGGTGTGGCTCCAGCACAGCGGAGCTGACACCGTGAGAGTCCAGTTCTAATACTTAGCAGGGAAAGAAAAGCCCTCAGCTCAGATGCTAAACAAGTGGGGGCTTCTACAGTTCAACTTAAGGGAGATCCCACGTGAGGACTGGGATTCAGGACCCATCCTCAGAAAGGGACGGCGGGCGGTTGCCGCGCCAGCAGGAAGTTGCATCTTCTCAGACCTCTCCTCCATCTGTGTTGCCTCCGCACCTCACATCCAGCTGTACAGCCAGATTCTGAACAATTAAACGATGGCTCTTGCCGGGCATGGCGATGCGTGCCTGTGAGTCCAGCCCTTGAGAGGCTGAGTGAGGGAATTTGAGGCCAGCCTATGCTACATAGCAAGTCCCTGTCTCAAAAATAGATGATCCAGGCACCTGTGGCTCGTGCGTGTAATCCTAGCCACCCTGGAAGCTGAAATCTGGAGGATCTTGGTTTGAGTCCACCCCAGAAAGAAAATTCTATGACATTTCATCTACAACTAACAAGGAAAAAGCCAGACTGGAGACCTGGCTCAATTGGTAGAGCACCAGCCAAGCAAGCAAGGCCAGCCAATGCAAGACCCAATATAGATAACAGGTAGACAGACAGACAGATAATTCTCTGCAGCTGTTTCTAGTCTCTGTGTGCCTTTTCATAGTCTTTGAGTGGTCTGTCCATAAACCCTACTATGTTTTTGTGCTTTTACTGGAGTTGGAACTCAGGGCCTTGCACCTGCTAGGCAAGTGTTCTACCACTTGAGCCACCATTATTTTTTAGTATTTAATTTTCTGAAGGCAATATAGTGTTTTCTGTAGTACATGTAATGGAACTGTCTCTGAATTTTATTTCAGACTCATTTGCATGTTGCTTATGTAACAAGATGGTTTTTTTTAGTCTAGGGTGTAACAGTACATCCCAACTGTTCATACAAGTCGGGGAATTTTAGGTCCAGTGTTATAAGACATTAACAGAGGGGCCTCGGCCATCATGTCCAAGGGAAGGAGTCCAAATGAGTGGATGCAGTGTTGGTCAGAGTTGATACTCACGCAATGTTTGCCTTTCAGCATCCCTGTCTCGGGGCTGCCTGGGTCACCTCTCGCGTTGGTGTTCAGAAGCTAAAACAGACAGGAAGGGAACTATCCAGCCCCTGTGCCTGGAGGCAAAGCCAGCTCGGGTCCCAGTGAGCACCGTGTAGCTGTCTGCTTGTGGAGGTAGGCCTGCAGCGCGACCTCTGGGCACAACTTGGGGAGCAGAGCCACACCCGGGCACGGGGGGGGGGGCAGCGTGACCTCTGGGCACAACTTGGGGAGCAGAGCCACACCCGGGCACGGGGGGGGGGGCACAGGTCCTCGGAGCCAGGGCAGCAGCAACCAGGGGAGACCAAGTCATGCTCAGAAAGCTCATAGGAAAAAAAGAGAGAGGAAGGGAGGGAAGGAAGGAAGAAAGGAGAGGGAGGGAAGAAAAGAGAGGGAGGTAAAGGAGGGAGGGAAGAAAGGGGAGGGAGAGAGAGGAGGAAGGAAGGAAGGAAGGAATCAGCCTTGACAGGGTAGAGCATGTGACCTACTAAGCCTGTGACCAGCTAATGTCCTCCCTCCAAGGGAACAGGGGGTCTTAGATAAGAGACTAGAGTGGAACTACTTAAGAAAAAACAGCAGGGCACTGGTGGCTCACGCCCATAATCCTAGCTACTCAGGAGGCTGAGATCTGAGGATAGAGGTTGGAAGCCAACCTCAGCAGGAAAGGCCATGAGACTCTTATCTCCAATAAACCACTAGAAAACCAGAAGTGGTGCTGTGGCTCAAGCAGTGGAGCACTGGCTTTGAGCTGAAGAGCTGAAGGACAGCGTCCAGGCCCAGAGTTCAAGCCCCATGACCAATGAAAGAAAGGAAGGAAGGAAGGAAGGAAGGAAGGAAGGAAGGAAGGAAGGAAGGAAGGAAGGAAGGAAGGATTATATTTATTTTTTGATATTTTTTCCCTTCCGATCACGAAGGAACTTTGGAATGAATGGGACCTTACAGACCGATCCTAGGAAATTCCTTTCCAGTTGGACTTTCAGAAGGTGACACAGGTACTGAGGAGGTGGAGGCTGGAAGAGCCCAGATTCGAAGCTGGCCTGGGCAGAAAAGTGTGTGAGTTTCATCACCAACCAACAAGCAAAATGCTGGGCTGGAGATGTGGCTCAAATTATCAAATAACAGCTGTTAGTGAAGAAAGGCTCTGCGTTCTAATCCCAGTACCAGCACCCCAAAGAAGGTGATGCCCGTGTGGGTGTTGAGACAAACCAGTACATATGACGGAGGGCGGAGAGGAAGGCCCTGACCCACGGCCTGGACAGGACGGGGATCCAAGGAGGCTCCACCGTTCCCATCGACGACTTCTGGCCTAACGAATGGCTTCTTCCGTTCTTCAGCAAAGGGCAGGATGTACATCTGAGGTTCTAGAGCCTGTCACCCTAGTTGCGACTCAGAGTTTTGCATGTGAGTGACATGGAGCGTGTCTTTATTTCCATCAGTTTGTCTGTCCAGCAAGCTCGCGTTGCTTGGATCGGAACAAACCCCTTCTCAGATGACACGGGTATGCGTTTTCGTCAGCACGTTAGCTGCACACACGTCCACATGCGCATACAGTGTGTCTCAACACTCCTTCTCCTCATCCCACCCCCTCCTGAAAACAATTTCCACGGGTTTCACGGTTCTGTTTTCATACATGCAAATAAAGTGTGTCACCATATTCATCAGTGACTCTCTTCGTTAGCCCAACTCCCTTCCCTGGGATTCACCCTCCCCACCCCAACAACAAAATCTATTTTACTTTCCTGTCGGTTTTTGTTTTTCGATGTATACTAATTATGCCGAGAGGTTTCACTCAGACTAACTTCTCCTCAGCCTGCCCTCCGAATTTCCTATTGACCACCAACTTTGAGGTTCCTTACACATCTTCATACGTATGTGAACTGCATTCCAAAACTATTCGCTCTCTGTATTTCCTCTTCCCTCTCTCCGTGATGAAAATCCTGCTGCAATCACATGAAAGTCACAGCCCTGCCATGTAGAAGTCTTTGGGTGGGTGGAGGTGTTGACTCATGCACATGTACACGCACAAATATGTGCATGCACACACACTGCCCTTCCCCCAAAATGTTGTCAAAACTGCTAATGATACCCAGCGCCATCAAGGGGTGTGAGTGGTTGCCACGGAACCTGGGCAGAGTGGGTTTGTCCTTGGTGGTCTTGATAAACTGCTGCATGTTCCACAACTTGGTCCAGGATCCCTCGCTGCTGTTCAGTCCAGGCGAACTGGATTTCTAATTACCTTCAACAACCCTGCAAAGCACCTTTTAAGTGATCATGTGACAAACTATGATTCTAGGGAACACACTTTGTCCAACATTGATTTGGAGCAATGCGTTTTATAGATGAAGGAGCAAAGGCTCAGAGAGGCTGAAGACTGCAAAGCTAATGAGCAGCCAGGATTAGAACCTACCACTCTGAGACACCAAGGCAGCTCCTGTCTTTTTTTGGGGGGGGGGATGGTATTAGGTCTTATGCCAGTCCTGGGCCTTGAACTCAGGGCCTGGGCTCTGTCCCTGGGCTTTTTTGCTCAAAGCTCGTGCTTTACCACTTGAGCCACAATGCCATTTCCAGCTTTTTGTTCATGAATTGGAGATTAGAGTCTCACAGACTTTCCTGCCTGGGCTGGCTTCAAACTGCAGCTCTCAGACTTCAGCGTCCTGAGTAGCTCAGATTATAGGTGTGAGCCACTCTATTTTTTCTTACATGCAGCCTTAGACCTAGAGGAATCCATTCATGCTCACTTCCTCTTACTTATTGCAAGATGGAGCCAAAGAGCCACCGGCACATCTCTATTTAATGATTCTATTTGTTGTCTTTTAGGAACTAAGTTTTAACATGCTTACATTACTCTCATGTTACTTTAAAAAATGTATTTGTCTGGCTCCAAGCACCAACTGTAGTATCTACCTATCATTAAGTGAAAATATCCAACAGCAAAGATGATAGCGTGGAGACTGAGCGCCCTGTAGATGAAGAGCGAGGTTTGAACTACCAATCGTTAATGAACCCATTAATTTAACCCAACAACATAATCTCCTGGTACTTCCCCTGGCTGAAGTAGTGGTGATTTTATATTTATAAGGGAGTTTTGATTTAGATGAAATATAGTTCTATTTTTACAATCTTGTACCTTCTAAAGGAGAAGCCAGCTTCCTTCCAGTAATGTATTCATGGATTTATCACCATTGCTCATTATCTAGACCTGTGCAAATATGTTAACTTTTTCCCCTACATTTTTTTTTGCTCCAGAATTTAGGCAGCAAAAACCTCTTACATTTTCCCCAATGCCTCACACTTACTTGTAAAAAGATTCCTTGCCTAATGTCTATGGAGGCCTAACCATAGTGAAAACCTGTATTGACTTTTAGAAAATAATTCTACTAGGTCCTTTTACAGTTCAATGAGACAATGGATCATTTTATCTTTTTTTTTTTTTTTTGGGTCCGGTCGTGGGGTCTGAACTCGGCCTGGGCACTGTCCCTCAGCTCTTCAGCTCAAGGCTAGTGCCACTTCCGGCTTTTTTCTTTTTGCTTATGTGGTGCTGAGGAATCGAACCCAGGG